CAGTAAATGTTGACAACATATTACTTAATGAGTATGTAGAAGGTGAAAATGAAATACCTAAAGGGAATTGGCCAATTTAAGGCAAAAGTTACAACAACAGTTACAACGCAGATTCATTTACAATGGCGGAAGGCTATACCAAAGCTTCGCATTTTCGCGGGCATAATGCCTAGACAGGATTGTTCATTCTAGTGTTTTGACGGTGAATTCTTTTATCAAGCTGGACTATATTTTATATGAGAAGAATCTATGAATATTCAGCTCTCATTTTACCGGAGGAACAACAAGATATTTGATTAGTAAACAGCTAAAATGGCAATTTAAAGCCAACAAAGTCGCTAAAAAAAGAGGTAAAAATGCAGCCTCTACGCGGTGGGCGGTCAGCATAGCACCAATCGAACAGTAAAGAATGACAGTGACTTTTTTCAAGCAATACAATTGAAACAATACTAAAGCAATCAGAAAAGAATTGCCTTTCAAATACTGAAGGAAACACAAACATTCGTTGTTGAGATACGATTGTGGAAAGACAAAATATGAAACAAATACAGCTTATGTCTGTGCGAAATACAACGTGAAACACTAATTTGTTAGGCTAGTTTTTTTAATCTATAGCACACACGGATGATCATAAGTTTACAATTTAGGCTTATCGCGATTAAACCACGTAAACAAAGTCGCTAAAAAAAGAGGTAAAAATGCAGCCTCTACGCGGTGGGCGGTCAGCATAGCACCAATCGAACAGTAAAGAATGACAGTGACTTTTTCAAGCAATACAATTGAAACAATACTAAAGCAATCAGAAAAGAATTGCCTTTCAAATACTGAAGGAAACACAAAAATCCGTTGTTGAGATACGATTGTGGAAAGACAAAATATGAAACAAATACAGCTTATGTCTGTGCGAAATACAGCGTGAAACACTAATTTGTTAGGCTAGTTTTTTTAATCTATAGCACACATGGATGATCATAAGTTTACAATTTAGGTTTATCGCGATTAAACCACGTAAAGTAACAAAGAAACTAAGTCACAATCATAATCAGAATTCATTATCTTAAAAAGAAAAACCATGTCAGAGAGCATTCTACGATCACTAAGTAAATTAATATTAATAACATAGTTACAATTCTTTATAATAAGTCTACAGAATTTTCTCTGAACACGTTAAATCCGCTTAGCCTGATTTGGAGAAATGGAATTAAAAATTACTATACAGAACTTTAATTTGGACCTAATAATTAGTCACTAGGCGGAAAAGTAGTCTAGTGGTAATGGCACCAGGCTAGTTGCCTGGAGGTCGTGGTTTCCATTCCCACAAGAATCACGTGCGATTTTTTTTTTCTCGAGTATTTGGGAACGGATTCAGTTACGTGTGTATGAGAACTTCAAGTTAGGCCTAATAATTAGTCACTAATCGGAAAAGTAGTCTAGTGGTTATGGCACCAGGCTAGTTGCCTGGAGGTCGTGGTTTCGATTTTCACCTGAATCACATGCGAATTTTGTTCTCAAGTTTTTGGAAACGGATTCAGCACGATAAATAACACGTAGGGAAAAACATCACTCCTATTTTTACTACTTAATTGTCAAAACTGTCTCATCAGCACTGTGCTAAGCAAAATAAAATTAAACTTGTTAAGAAAGTTCATTAAGTTCAAGTTTTCCTGACTGAATGAATATCTTTTAACTTGGGACCCCAGTGTTAATTTGTTATACGCACTAAGCTTTGATGACTACCGTAATTCTTTCTATTGATCTCTTAACAAAGAAAATTGTTAACATACTAAAGGGTAAGCCAGCGAAGCCAGCAAAGCGTGCGCTTGACCATTTAGTAGGGCCCTATGAAATTTAAGTATATTAATATGTCTACTTACTGCATTCTTCGCTGTGGTCCGAGCATGAGCCTGAAAATAATTTAAGATAGTATTAAATACAATTTTATTAGGTTTTCATGAGTTTCATGTTCATTTTTATCGAATAAATGATTGAAAGAATGAATGAGATACGGTGAATATAACAGAATCCATACATTTGGGATTGAAAGGCTTAACCACCACCTCCATTACTATTATGAACTGCAGTTGTTAAACGTAATTACAACAATAATATTGCCATAATGCATTTTTTAACGTAGGATAGTTTGGGAAAAATTCATGAATTATTCATATCATCCTTTATAGAACATAATATGCGTATGCGCTATTTTCAAGCCTGTGTCAGCTTCAATTATTAGCTGTTTTGTGCGAGGGACCTAGTGTTTCATTAAAAAAAAAATAATAATTAAATAAAATTAGATTTTGGGCGAACTGAGCAGATACAATTAATTTAAATGAGGCTCTTTTAGTTATGATATTAGTCAAGAATAATTTTGGAATTCAAGAACGGGTCCAGTGAGCAAAATGGTCTTTGATATGAGTGCCTTACATTATTTATGCTAGTATTTAATAGGCCTATTTTGATTACGTAACATTAAAACATTCATTTAGTCTGTTACCGGTTACCTGTAATCCAGACTGTTTTATTTTATCGTGAACTTAACAAATATTTCAAAGAGGGTGCTTTATTTATTTTATGCAACTTGTTTATTTTGCTTTGTACAAAACTGAAAGTTCTATACGGTGTTTTTATTATAATGACAGACCAATTAACACCATCAATTTAGAAGTTTATGCTTCATTACTTACGACATTGGTTATTGTAACATTGACCAGATCCTGAATAACAAAAAGTACAACTCGGTCCAATAGTATAAGGATGTTCACCAATAGTATTGCCACTATAATAGATCACAATTTCATTTCTAAATTGTTCCATTTGCTTTGAAATATACAAGTTCACGGATAAATTCCTAAAAGTAAACCAATACCAGTACTCATTATCTTATCTTATGGATGACAGTTTAGATGTGGTCCGCTTATTTAATTTCACAGTTAATGCAACCTATTCCATACACTACCCCATATGTATCTTCTTTATTGATCTTGTCTTTTGGTCGAACTACCGAGTTCCTAATGTTTTTAGTAGGAATAAAATATGTGGCGATTTCATTTTTGTTTGGATTTCCACTTATCCATTTCCTGTTGTAACTTTTAAATGATCTATGTTAGATGATTGCATTTTTTTAAAGCTGAGTGTATTGTATTTACTTTAGGTTCTTTATCTTCCTTAGTCGTAATTATGTGGAGTAATGTACAAACCACGAAAGTGTCATCCACAAAATAACAATGAGTTTTAGTTTACTTTAAGAAATTTCACAAGCATTATTTATTTAATTATCAAATCACATATACAGCACCCATCAATTTTGTTTAAACATATTTTAGCAATGCTGGATTATACTGACGACGGCTGCTGCATTGAATCATGACAAAAGTCATAAGTTGCAAAATGGAAATTTCTGAAAAACAAGAAATTCCTGACAAAGGTGTGGACACAACAATAAAAAAGGTTTGACCATTATTAAGGATTGTTGCATTGTATTTGTGAAGCATGGATTTATAAAGAATATAAACAGAATAAATGCATTAAGAGGGTGCTAGAAGAAACCATTTAAAGTACAATACCAGAATATATAATATATCCTACATATGTTGAATAAGGTAAATTGATCGAGAAGAAAGACAAAATTGCTTGAGTAATTCATTGAATGGTAGGCCTTGCCAATCTTAATAATGATATAGTTAAAAGTTAAACAAACGTACCGCCAAAGTCTGATTTTATATCAGTATTTTCTTTGTGTTCATATAATGTCATTCAATCAACCAATCGGAAAAAATATATAGCATATATCATTAATTAGGAGATACTCGAGGCACCACTGCCTCAAAAAAATAAAACGCAAGTAATCCCAACGTAAAGAGATTGAAATAGAAAAGAAAGAGCGAGATAGAAAAACATGAACTAATGAAAGTGAGAACTTGAATAATAAAAATGATAACAGTTCCAATGATATGCATCCACTTTAGCATCAGGTTGTAAGGAGATAGGGATATTCTGAAAACCCGGCTTATTAACATAATTACGAGATCAGAGTTTATTAAAAAGAAATTTAAATATAAAAAAAATGTACGTACCCGGGTCCATAGTTACATGTTACGATCCAAACATTGGTGACTCCGTCAGCTGTGCTGCTACAGTAAGATAGCCCGCATCCAACAACTCGCGAATCAGCCCATACAATCTATGATTAAAAATGTATACTTATTCAAGAGGACTATTTGATTTTAATGATTAGAATATATCTTACCTTGCTAGATAACTTAACTAAATTACAAGGAGTTGAGTTGAATAGTTTGGTGGTTAACATGCTTTCTTTCCAATCCCAGGGTCCTGGATTACATTTCTGTCACGGTAACAGGATTTGTCTAAAGACCAAAATAAACTCCAATCCTTAAGACTCGTAATAATTGATACTTAGTATATGTAGGCCTAAAGCATTCTGTGTTTGTATTTGTCTTGTAAAGGGATATGCCACTTTATTATTTTAATATTATATTTTGATGTGTGTTTGCGTCATATAAAATATATTAGGAGTGATGTGTTTCCCAACCTAACGTGTTATTGCATTGAATACTCACTACGTTTCCAAATACTTGCGAACAAAATCACAAGTGATTCGGGTGGAAATCGAACTTACGACCTCCAGATAACTAGCCTGGTGTCATAACCCCTAAATCACCTAGTCACTAACACTCGCGACACGCAAGTTTATGAAGATGATGATAATGAGGATGACGACAACGAAGATAAAGATTACGAAGACAACGATTATAACAATAATATTAAAGAAAACGATTCAGCTACTGCATTTTAACATAAAAAATGTATAAAAAAATATTTACCTGTGTGTAATTGCTGCAGCCTCCCGGAATTCTACATTCGTTGGCTGAATGGTTATAAAATTGATACTCGTCATACCATACCTGCCTAGCGATCACTCCATTAACGGGATTGTTTGGGTCTCCCTTAACTTGGTATAGATTTTGACCAATATGAGTGTATGGCTGTCCGTGAGTTACACATGTCGGACCACTGTTGAGCCATCGTTGCAAGATCGTCATTCCATGTCTACAGATGTTTTGACAATTTAGTATTAATTTATATGTTATCTTTTTAAAATTCTTCAACATGTATTACAAATTCATTATATACTTGACCTACATTGTTTTTATTTAGTCCTGGATATTATACCCTCATTAACTTATATTATACATACATAATTTGTAGTAATAAAAATAAGATTATAGAATTTTGGATATTTAACAAATGCTAAAATAATATGCATTAAGGCATTCAATAAAAATGTTATATCTGCAACAAAATTGTCCGTCTAAATTGTTCTGTGTGGACCAGCATATTATTGTACTATGTGGACTATCTGACTATACTGGGTGGAGCAGCCGAGTACTGTCCTGTGTGGACCAGCAGAATATTGTCCCGTGTGGACTGTATGATTGTTTGTCCTGTGTGGACCAGCACAATACTGTCATTTGTGGACTGCCTGATTATTTGTTGTCCTGTGTGGACCAGCAAATTTAACTATCTTGTGTGATTCTCGCTATTGCCTTCTGTTTCTGTGTGCACAATCAAAACGCAAGACGACTGAATTTCTGACTTCTGGACACTCCGTTAATTTATATAAGTATTGTCTTTGTTTTTATATTGCATTGTAAATTATAAAAATAATTATAAAAATAATAATAATAATAATAATAATAATAATAATAATAATAATAATAATAATAATCATTATTATTATTATTATTATTATTATTATTATTGGCTTTTCCTAGCAGTACTGTGAAAAGCCATTGTTTTTGTTCTGATTTTTTTCCCCCTTTTTTCTTGCATATATTATTTTTCCTATCTTTTTGCACTTTTTTTTCTGGCCATTACTTTCGTCATTTCCCAAGCTTGGAATTTTTCTGTGCTTTGCCAAAGCATAGGCCATGTATCAATTATGTGCTCTCTACAATTTAGTGTGCGTGTGAGGACCAATTACATTGATTTAAGGTCAAGAAATTTTAATCAAGTTACAAGGAAGGAATTATTATGTGTTAGTGATGATCCAGTGAAGGGTGTAAATTTGTGGGTATTTTTAATTTTTGAAGACCCAGACCTAAATATCTCTTTAAAAAATAAATGTGTATAATTTAAACCTTGTATAATAATTTGTCAAGGTCGAGTAAAAAAATTATTAAATTTTTGTGACGATCTGGAGTAGGGTGTAGATCTGAGGATCATTGAAAGGAAAACGTCCCAGACCACATTATTTCGAAAACGGATTAACTGATTTGAATTAAAAATTCGGAAAAAGATTAACCAAGTTACAGGGAAGATACGGTAGTATTATTTGTTGGCAACGATTCAGTTAAGGGTGTAAATTTGAGGGTCATTTAAATTATTGAGATCCGAGACGTTAATATCTATAAAAAAAATGTTCATTGGGTGTAAATGAAACATTCTATAATTTGTAAAGTTCCAGTAAACAAATGACTAAATGTTTGTGATGATCCGGCGTAGGATGTGGATATGGGACCATTTAAAGGAAAACGCCCTGGACCATATATTTCAAAAACGGGTCCACTGATCTGAATTAAACTTTCGGGAAAGTACAAGGAAGATATTATTATGTGTAGGGAACGATCAGGTTAGGATGTAAATTTGAAGGTCATTTAAATTGCTTACGTCCCAGTTATAGATGGATAAAAATGACAATTTGCAGAATAGTTTTTCATGGTGAATGAAGAAATGATGCAATTTCGGTGACGATCTGCAGTAGGGTGTTGATATGAGGACCATTTAAAGATTTTTTGCTGACAGTTGATTAAATTATATAAAGCGATTCATTTAATAAAGCGCTTAAACCAAAACTACCGTGATATGTATAAATAATTTTTGCTTTTAGTCATTGATCGCTATGAACTGAAAATGCACTTTCCTATGCAAGGTCGGCTCATATAACGCGCAATGGTTATAAGTCACGATGTACCTCGCTATTACCATTGCAGCCATAGTTCAAGTCTCACACTAATAACGTCGCGGTGAACTTGGTTTTCGTTGTTTTTTTTTTCCACTTCATTAAAATTGTATTGGTTTTCCGTGATTTTTTTTTATACCTTTTAACGACCTTTCTTTTTGTTGCAATTTCAACTTCATTTTTTATTAAAGCAATGGGGAAACTCCCTGTGTTCTGTTGCTCAAACAGACATAGTAAGTGTTGTTATTATTGGTATTGTTATTATTGTTATTGTTATTGCTATTCCTTTTATTATTACTTGTTAAACTATAAAATATGTTGGTGTGGAATATTAATTAAATCGAAGTGTGACCAGCAGTACTTAGTTGTTTTAATTATTCTTTTAAGTTTCGCTTTGACAGACGGCTACTACGCTGTCTCTTATACACATCTAGATGTGTATAAGAGACAGCTTTGCCAAAGCATAGGCCATGTATCAATTATGTGCTCTCTACAATTTAGTGTGCGTGTGAGGACCAATTACATTGATTTAAGGTCAAGAAACCGTCACTCACAAATGTATGTAAAAATTGGTCGTAAAATTTGATAAGTTGACCATTAAAATATATTGTAAATATTTATTTAAATCCGTACACCGATTTTGTTTCAAGTTGTTTGTTTTCAATATTATAGCTGTTTCTTTACGATGACAATTTTTTGAAATCGTACTGTATAACACTCCAAAATTTGTTTTATGGGCAAACAACAGAAGGCTCTAAATTTTTACAAGTTGACCAAGCGTGTTGCTGCATCATTATCTTTCAGTTACGATCACTATTCAGGCAGAGAGCAGCTGTTTCGTTACCGGTTGGTACATTTCTTACAAATATTCAGCCAAAGGCCAGTGAAAGTTTTTATCGATGTTTGCCATGATCCTTATGTGAGCTATCGAGTCATGGTTTGCCGGAGTTGCGTTCAATTTAAATCTCCGAACTTCAGAAGCTGAGATATTCTAGAATGTAGGCTTGTATTATAGGCTACAATTTAAAAACGGGTGACCAAATAATGAATTAGGTGCTAAATTTTGATTTAATACTGGGTAAGTTAAAAACAGACATTCCGTCCGTGTGGGACTCATTCAAAAATTCTAGGGGGTTCGCTAGAAAACAGGAGGGTTCGCTAGAAAAGGGGGGTTCGCCCGAACCATAAAAACCCCCCCTGGCTACGGGCCTGAATGCACACCAGAATTTGGATCGTCACCAACACTTCATAATTTCTTCCTTGTAATTTGGTTAAAATTTTACGAACGTTTCATTCAGATAAGTTAATTATTTTTTATAATATATGGTCTGGGACATTTTTTCTTTGAAGGGTCCCCATATGCCCACCTCATGCCGGATGGTCATCAATATTGGGTCCTAACCTAACAACCCCTGTAACTGCCATTTAGATCTGTGCCATCCAGATTCAGTGTCAGGTTAGCTTTTAACTATCATTGTGTTTTCATTTTAGTGCTTCGACATGTCCTGTCATTTAGATCCTCACATCCACACCCTACTACAGACTGTAACCAAAATTTTCATCATTTATTATTGGGTTATTCCTAGCGAAAACACCAAAACATTACAAACACACACACAAACACACACACACACCCACACACACGCCCACACCCACCCACACACCAATTTACACGACTGAAAACATATATCTCCTGGCGAGATAACAATTCTGAAAGCATCACGTTGTAACAACTTCGAGGAGCTTAACAACAACAAATAGAATAATATAATATATAAAGCAAGATGGTAATGTGCTAGTATAAACTTAGTTATTTACTAAATTTATTTTAGGGTTTATTAGTCCATTTCAAATTAGTTTAGTTAAGTTCATTTCAAATTTAGCGAAAATGGTGTAGGCCTATATAGAAAGATTATATCGTCGTTACTGTCTTCATATAATAATCATATAATCAAGTTTACTCTATCAGCAACCGTAGTATTGGCATAATGCTACTAATTTTTACCATTATAAATCACATCATTTATTCATTATAAATATTCTTTTTTTGTATTGTATTTCCTGGAATTGAGTGGAAAAGATTATATTGAATATAATTGAAATCACATTATGCTCTAGAGCCACGCTTCCCAAATTATGGTTTGCGACCCAAAAGTGGGTCGACAAACTTTTTTCGTTGGGTCGAGGGCCGGTTTGCAAAATAAAATAAATTTATCTGCTCATTTTCAGAGAGTTAATCAGGTCTGAAGACTTAAAAACAGTATGTTTAGGTGAATTCTCATTGTTTTTTTAATGTTATTATATGCAAACAATGAATATTTTAAAATTCGTATGGCTAGTTTTTCTGTTGCCTTTTACCACAACGTAATTGTGTAAATCTAAGATTTTTAAAAAAAATATAGAAATAAACTGAAAAGAGAAAATTACTGTAAGGTGACCTAAATATAAAATTATGCAAATGAATTTCAAATGTGTAACTATTGCAAATTCAAACAATAATATACCAAAGAGCACTTGCCATGCAGTTTGGTTGGTAAGGCAGTAGTAATCAGTCCAGTGGCGTATCCTGTGGGTGCTCGTCAGAGGTTGAAAAAAGTTCCCCTTCTTAATTAATGTTATATGCCATTTTCCGGCATCTGGAAGTCCCAAATTCTTACCATTGTCTAACCTCAGCTTCACTCAAGGTTGGCTGAGGCGGGTGGTAGTTTCCATAAACTTTAGGTATCCAAGTGCCGTTTTCAGGCTTCTTTAAAGTCTCTTTCTTGAAATATACTCATTTGCTTTACAAAACCATAGTGGGGATTAGGTAAATATCTTAGATTTTGTACTATTTAAGTGTTATTTTCTGGTATCTATGAGTCTCAAATTTTCAACCATGGTGGTCTCAGGTGGATATGGTAGTTTTTTAATTGCAGTCTTTATGTGCCATTTTCGAGCACCTATTTATTTAATTCGGTTTTTTTTTTACTTATTTTGTCAAAAATAACAAGAATTAAATGGAAATTTCATTTCCATTTTCGGGTATCTAGGTACAAAACACACCACGTCACCACCAACCAAGGTGGCGCTGACTTGGTGTGGACTCTCAGTCCATTTGCGCCTCCCCTACCATTCCCTTAATCCTTGATAAGCAACTGGTAACCACAGAGTTAAAATTTAGGTATAAAAGTCATGAAATATATAATTAAATGGTTGAAAATATTTTCTGCAAAAAAGTTGATTATATTTTCCTTTCAAATATTAAAAGTTGTCTCATTTTCCAGTGAAGGGTTCAATGTTCCCCTACCCTCCAAAAAAAAATGATGGAGAAAAAAGGAAAATTGTAATCAAATTCAATATGAGAGTGCCATTTCCGGCCATCAATGGGTGCCATAATCATAACATTTCTTACCTAAGCCTCTACCATGGTAGGGCTGAAGTGGAAAGGCCTTCTATCTGTGAAAAAAATTCTCAGTTGTGTCCTCTCTATTATCAAATCCTGTATTCGCCACTGGATTCTCAAAAGGAAGATCATTATGTAAACAATAATCATTACTTATATAATTACTAATTTCTTTAAACATAACATGACAGAACTAATAGGGTAATATCATTAGCGTAACATTTATACACTTCTCTTCATAATTTTTAAAAAGTAGGATGTAATTTTGCATTGCCTCATCCCATTCTTGACAGGGAACCATCTGGAAACATATTTTCTCGATCTAATACAAGATTGTTTATTGAAGTTACTAGGCCTATAATATAGCTTAGCGGCTTCAAAAAAGCAAACATACACAGGATTTTTATTACAATAATAAAAGCAATTAATTAGAAGCTTTAAAACAAAATGCAAGTATCCGTAAGTGTGCAGAGTGGAAAGGAAATTGGTAATGAGAGGCCTTAAGTATACTTTCACCAAAATTATCAATTACAAATGATTCAAGAACTTTTGAAACCATACATGCCAGAGCAAGTGCCTATATCTGCTTTTACTAACAGTGTCACATGATTTTGATTTTATTGAAACTATCACTACGCTATTCTATTCTATGCTATTCTATGCTGTTACTATTCATCGCCTCTTTTAGCGTCTTAACGATTGTGCCATACAAAGTTCAACAGGTACATGAACATGTGGAAGTACTAAAATTAAAACAATGATAGTAAAAAAACTAGCCTGACACTGGAATAGTGTCCTGGGCACGACGTTATAAACTGCATCCGGTGGAGTCGTCGGCGACAAATTCCGACAACCCCATCTGGTGGTCTTTAGCGGCCGCCAATGGGAGGGTGGATGGACACACAGCAGCACGAAGAAAAAAAAAGCTGAACAAAGGGCGGATGAACCAACCATGGCCAACCATGCCTTAGTTTAAGGAGTGGGTTTTTTTAGTTTCATAAAATAACTTCAACTTTCTTTTTTCTCAAAATGTCAAACTCGAAGAGCTCAATCACAATCAAGTACATAGAGGCTTTTTTGCATGATGCGCTCTACAAATCCAACTATTACTATTATTATTATTATTAGTATTGGAATACATCAGATGCAAATCAATCCCAAGGGGATTTACCATACGGATGATAAATATATACTTTGATTGTCAATTGAAATCGAAAGCAAATAACTTAAGCCGGGCAATCACAAAGTCGTACGACGAATTCAACCCCGCTCCCCTGTGAGTGATAGAGGATGCGACTCCCTCTGCTGATCGACGTTGCCAGTCTGGACGGACCGCCATTAAAACCGATCCTAGGTGCGCGCGTCTTGGCGATTCTCCAAAGAATTGCGTCGGCCGACGAGCTAAGGGCGCAGTGAGTGCCAAGCTTAAGTCTTACTTCAAATATACACGATAACTGAAATATTGAATTTATATTTATCATTGTTTGTTATGTTGACACAGTATATAATTAAAAGAAATAATTTTAATTATGATAACTATTGTATGAATTGATTTGACTCACCATAAACTCCATATCTGAAGCCTCTGGAGAAACCTGTGATCGCAGGTCATTGTGTTTGTCAAGTATAGCCTGCGATTCGTTTGCTGAAAACCCAGTGGACCGCCTGACCCTGGAGTGTCGCTCATTTGCTATTTTTTGATCGACTGCATCAGTATCCTTTGTCACCCGATTGTTTGCAACACCAACTCGTGTTCTGATGAAAGTATCTTCTGCGCAATGTACATCCGACAGGCGTATTATGTAAAGTGTAAAGATAATGATAACACATCTGATTATTCCCATCATCCTAAAAGACTAAATTTAACAGTAATAAGCCTTCATTTACATGAATAGGCACATTTATGTGTGTGTGTGTGTATTTGTTGTCAGAAGTGTTCCTTACTACTGAGCAAGTGACTGTTTATTTGTTAGGATGAATTGTTACTCATAACTTGAAACTAAAGTGTGGCTTTATAAAGTAGCATGATTTTTCAACACACCGGTAATTTCTATGGAAGTGCACGCTGGGAAAGTCTAATAAAATTAATATAGTTAATTTAAAAATTCTTTGCTTCGTATTGGTAAGAACGCTGTCGAATTATTGTGTTTAGGTAAAGAGTAAGGTAAAACTAACAAAATTGTATCAAGTTAACTGCACATCCTTTAACACAGATTTTATATAGAAATTAGTAATTTAATATAATAAAGCCTTAGATGGTTTGATAAGTCTCAACCAAATGATATGAACAATTTCATCGAATTGTATTGTCACGTAGATTATATTATAAAATTTATAAGAGCTTATTGAAACTTATGAAAACGTAAAATAATAATAATAATAATAATAATAATAATAATAACTAGACTTACTATGTCTGTTTGAACAACAGGACATACGGCGTTTCCCTATTGCTTTAATGAGAAATGAAGTAGAAATTGCAACAAAAATAAAAGTCGGTGAAAACACGGAAAACCAATATATTTTAATAAAGTGGAAAAAATGAAGTGAAAAAATAACGAAAAACAAGTTCACTGCGACGTTATTAGTTAAATTTGAACTATGGCTGCAATTGTAATAGCGAGGTACATCGTGATTCAAAATATTGCGTGCCATATGAGCCGACCTTGCATAGGAAAGTGCATAGCGATTCAATGAGTGAAAGCAAAAATTGTTCATGTATATGAAGGTAGTTTTAAGTTTAGCCTAGCTCTAACTTGTTTAATCGCCTTAAAAAACGCAAATTACCTTTATATAATTTAATCAACTGTGTCAACAAAAAACCTTTAAATGGTTTTCATATCCACACCCTACTGCGGATCGTCACCAAAATTGGATCATTTCTTCATTTCACTACGAAAACCTATTCTGCAAAGTGTCATTTTTATCCATATATAACTGGGACGTAAGCAGTTTAAATGACCCTCAAATTTACACCTGGACATTTAAAACTATTGTAGAAAGTTTCATTTACACCAATTAAAACCTTTTTAGGTATTTAAGTCTGGGATCTAAAAAATTGTAAATGACCCTACAAATTACACCATTGACTGATTCGTCGCCAACACATAATACTATCTTCCTTGTAACTTGGTTAACATTTTTCCAAATGTTTCATTCAGATCAGTTGATCCGTTTTCGAAATATGTGCTCTTTGACGTTATACTTTCAATGGTCCTCAAATCTACACCATACTGCAGTTCGTCACAAAAATTTAGTCATTTCTTTTAAACTGGACCTTTACAAACTATTATAGAAAGTTACATTTACACCCATTGAATTTTTTTAAATAAATATTTACGTCTGGGTTCTTAAACATTTAAATAACCCTCCAATGTACACCCTTGACAGATTCGTCGCCAATACACAATACTATCTTCCTTGTAATGTGGTTAAACTTTTTCTGAATGTTTCATTCAGATCAGTTGATCCGTTTTCGAAATATATGGTCTGGGACCTTTACTTTCAATGGTCCTCAGATCTGCACCCTACGCCGGATCGTCACAAAAATGTAATCATTTCTTTACCCGACCTTGGCAAACTATTATACAAGTTTTAAATTATACCCATTGATTTTTTTTTTAAAGAGATATTTAGGTTGGGTCCTCAAAAATTAAAATGACCTTACCACTTACACCCCTGACTGATTCGTCGCCGGCACATAATTTCTTCCTTATAACTTGGTAAATTTTTTTCCGAATGTTTCATTCAGATCAGTTGATCTGTTTTCGAAATATGTGGTCTGGGACGTTATGCTTTAAATGGTCCTCAGCTAGATCTACACCCTACTGCGGATCTTCACAAAAATTTTATAATTTTTTACAAGACCTGTACAAAGTATTATAGAAGTGACCAAAGTGACGGAAAGAAAAAAAATCTGTGTAAAAATATCGGAAAATATATATGCAAGAAAAAAGAAAAAAAATCAGAACAAAAACAATGGCTTTTCCCAATACTGCTTGGAAAAGCCAATAATAATAATAATAATAATAAAGATGATAATAATAATAATAATAATAAAATTAATAATAATAATAATAATTACTATTATCATTATTATTATTATTATTATTGGCTTTTCCAGCAGTACTGGGAAACGCCATTGTTTTTAATAATAATAACAATAATATTATTATTATTAGTATTTATATTAATATACATGACGCATTTTGTAAAAAAAAACTGGTCGCACAGTAAACATCGCAATTTGTAGTAAACATTAATGCACGCTTTAACAAATGAACTGTCTTTTTTTTTGTTAGTAATAAAAGGCGAGTCGAATGGTCGAGCGGTTTAGGCAGGTGTGCCGCAACCTACAGCCATAATATCGACTCTGATTCGAAAGGCACGCCCGCCTATGTTTCTAGAGGTAGAAAAATTCTTCTCTGATAAAGGACTATCAACCGTAGGCTCAGTGTACACAATGACTCGTGTACACTATAAAGAACCCAGTACATCATTCGAGACGAGTAGAGGGATACTCCGGTGTAATGGTACAGCCCCAGTATACAGACGACTAGAGTTGCTGGTACTGGGTAACACAGAAACGAAGGGATCGTTAGGGGCAAAGAAAGTCATTGATCGAATACTAGTCCACACAATCAAGCGCATTAAGCATCTTATTTAATGGATCTCTATACAAATTTGCATTATTATTATAACTTACTGTCGCAGTTTGTTTTAAATAATATGCCTTGGGGAACCTTTTATTAACTTATTGACTTATTTATTTATTTCATATAAATTTTTAACTCACTTTTAGTAATGATGACATACATTTCTCGTTTGTAATAGTTGGTCTAATATTCTAAAGCATTAGTTGCTCATTTACAGAAAGGGTCGATACCAGGACTAGAGTTTATTGTAGTTTTTCTCTTCTCTCGTTTGACTTCTATGACATCAAAAATACAAATTACTGTTAAACCTAAACAAAGCTGATGCCTTGAGTAGATCTAATCTTGCAGATGAGGTACGTAATTGGACTTAAGGCCCTAGTGCTTATCTTCTTGAAACGCTTGGATAAAAGCATCTGTCTCTTATACACATCTAGATGTGTATAAGAGACAGGGACAATAGAGGGTGGATGCTTTACAAGCAATGAAATCTGAATACACAGTAAAATAATAAGCCTCAGGTAAAACAATGGATCAAGGAGAGAGGTGAATAAACAGAGGCAAGCAGACTAAATTACAAGATAACCGATAATTGTACCCTATTGAGCCAAAAAACCTCTCTCTATGTAACTTGATAATATTTATCTGAATAATAATATATTATTTATGTTACTTTAAAATGAGCAAGTTAATTTCAAAAATGTTTTTTTTCTCAAATTATAAAAAATAAATTACAAAGTTTAATCAATTTAATGTTGTTAAAATATACATTAAACATTATAGAAATACAGTTACACCACCATTTCCAATCTCCAACATACTTCCGTTAGATTTGTTTACAGTCACTTTTTTTTTTTTGTGGGGGGGGGGGGGGGGGTGTAGGGAGGTCATGACGAGACAAGTTTTTACTTCTAGTCATGATCCCAATGATGGTGGTTTATTATTTGTATTGTATTGTATATTATTATTATTTCCATTATTGAATAAATGTCATTTGAATTTGAATTTAAATTTGAATTTGAAGTATCCGCATGGGTAATCTGACAAGGGGTGAGTCGACTGTCAGAGCAGTAAGGTAGGGTCGTCGCTAACAGCAGACTTAACATCGGTGTTGGTTCGAGTCGCTCCGTCTCATCGCCCATGTTTCGCTTAGTAGAACTAAGTTTTCCCGGATAATGCCTTAAAATGGAGGTCCATAGTGTACACATTTGGCTCGTATGCACTTTAAAGAACCCATTCCATCTTTCGAAAGTGTAGGGGATTTTGATACACAAAATCAGCACAATGACTCTCAGATTTATGGGTTATTCTCATCTCTCCAACTCGACTAAGACATTGTTTAGTTGGTTAAAGCAATTTGCTCTGACGGAAAATCAAACTGTATAAAATAAGGGGAAAAACAACAACAGAGGCCATTTCTAACACAGGAAAAGCTAAAATGCAGAACAAAAAGAAAATATAGCAACAACATTAACAATTATAGGCCTATTATTATAAAGATTGAAAACCCTACCTTCCTCAATTGGCGTGATGTTATAAGCTGTAAATTTCTGCTTTGTGAACCTACGCAATAAATTCTAGGTTAAGAATGCATTTTTTCAGTATACCTAGGCGTTAATACATGGATATACAATATATGGAAATGCAATCATGCGACAGTTTGTATAAAGAAGTAGAAGACTTGATTTAAATAGAAAAATAAATCTGCATACTTGTTAATCTATTAGTAGAAATACCAGGTTCATATACAATAATATTTCCGACTTGAATTATAACTAAAGTGTTCTGCCTTACTGGTAATCGCGCTCTTTTGATCAATGGAGGATTAATGAGATAAAAACATTGAAAAGTAATATATCGTTAAATGAATCAAAACCTATAGATAATAGTATACAGCAAAATGAGGACGCGACGCGAAAATAGTCGGTTTTCGGTTGTTGCTCTCCGCATAGAGTTCTATTTTCTCTATGCTCTCCGGCGATATGTGCAGTGACAGCCTTTTGTTAGTAGCTGAACTGTATAATACCTATAATAAGAAAGGCTGCTCTTTTTAGCAATTAAGAAACGGATTAAGTGGCTGACAGAGAAGATGGCATTGGGATATAAGGCCTTTTATAATAATTGGCAGTTGTCATGATACCGTTTTCCAATCCTGGCGCCAACAATCGAATAATTGGAATTTATCATTGTCATTATTAAAATGACAAATCATTTGTAGGGTATATAAAATAATATATTAAGTAATATTATTTTATATTATTTTATATAAAATAATATTAAATAAATAGTATATTTTAAATAGGCGTAATATAACAAAATAGTAATGTAAGCGATCTTAGTTGTAAACCACTTCATAGTATTAAGTACTCATGTGTCAATGACTGTAAAAATGTTTCTTTTTTTCTATTTTTTGTCTTTATAGTATCAGGTAGTCGTGATAATTTTCAGGGTATGTATTTTCAACCAATTTATGCTATTAATAAGCTATTTAATCTGTATAGCAGGTTTTCAATTTTGTTTTATTTGGATTCTTGTATGGTTTTTATTGATATTTAATAGTTATTCTTTCATTATATTACTTTTTGTGTAATAGTTTTACATGTTAAATTAGGATACGATGTTTGATCTGAAATCTGATTTATTCCTGTTATTAATGTTTTACACTTTTGGATACAATAAAGAAATACTAACCTTTTTTTAGTTATAATAGTCGCTAAGAGTTCAAGGATTCTATTCATGGATGATTTTTCGTGGATTAGAAAAACCTACACAATATTTTTCTAGATCCTTCTAGATTAGTATGCATTTTAATCAAGCTTTTATGCTCTAGGAACCGCGAACTAGACTAGGGACTTAACCTTTATACAAAAGATGGAATGCCACAGACGTTTCATATATCGTTGAAGATCAAACCATGTTTTGGCCGTCAGATGGTATTTTGGCCGTCAGTATATATATAGACAGACAGACCAGAATTGGAAAATAGTAAAAGGGAAAATAGTCAGAGTGGAATCAGAGGAGAGGTAGTGGGGAAAATGCACCGACTTGCAGTTTCCCCTGTGAAAAAAAACTAAATGATACTCTACAGTATATTTACCAGCACCCACACATGTACATGTTATTCGCTCAACACACTTAAGAAAAGGTAAAACAAAAATATCCCTTTGAAACCTGTGCCGTTCAATGTTGATGATCTTAAGGATCGCAATTTTCACTTTTATATTGATGTGTGTGCTATATCAGAAACCTAGTTAGAAGAGAATGTAATTAAATCCTAGTTTTCATGAGAAATGACTTCTATGAAAACCTGTTTGAAAAAAATTTGAAGTTGGAAGTATGTGCACTTGACTTTCCTGCTGCTGATGTGCAGATGCAGGTCCTAATTCGCGTTGTTATTTGAGCTGGTTGTTTCAAACAATCTTGTGATGATAATGTATCTTTATTATTTAGAGTTTTTTTTCCATTATCTGCTATGTGTAATAAGGAGTTTGGCTGTTTCAGAGGTGTATTTAACCTGTTAGCCATTTCCTTCAATGGCAATTATTTCATATGATGTTTTTGAAGTGTTTTGTTGCTAAGACAATTTCAATAAATAAATAATAAATGAATAAATTTGGTAGGAATCGCAATCTTAACTTCGATTAAGAGATGTTTTGATTTTATGTAAATCAAATCTAAATCTTGTCTATTATGACAAAAGTAAAGTAAGTGCCGAAGTGAAATGTATTAAAATACATCCAAATTCTAGGACATCAGTCCTATAATAGTTGGCGACAACTATAGAACTTATAAAGGTGGCGCTTTTTTTTGAGTAGATAAATTCAGTTGATACAGAAAATTAAAAATTTGCGTTCTAATGTCCGATTTTAATTTTCCAGACAATGATTGGGACACTTGGGAAACTAATAATTATTTGGGCCAGATACATTGTATCGAACATCCCGGGGGGATATATCCCCCCCCCCAATATTTGACAAGGGGGGGGGATGGTCCATTGTATCATCCCTCTAATATTTTGATTATGTATGGGATAAAATGGAGCTTTACACACTTCAAAAGACTGTCACTTAAATAATTTGCACTGTCTTATGCGCTTACAAAGATGAAAATTAGCATAATGTATTAATGTTGATAACAAAATTATTTTATCTGGTACCAATCTAAGCTCTTCTTTCCTTAGATGTTAGATGTGCTTG